CTAAAGTTCTACCTGGTTAAAGAATCACTGAGTACGACCATTTTATTAAATAAATTGGTCAGCAATCCTTGTGATCATATTCAATTTATTATTCTTATATCACTACTCTAAGGAAATGATTTTGGATGTGACTTTACCCATATCCCCAATTGTACTGCAATACTTAAAATAATGCCTGTAAGCATTAAATAGGTAACTTCTAAAAGAAAGGAAGGTAAGTAGATAAGTGGGTGAGTGGGTGGATGGATAGATAGATGGATCTGTGAACATCTATCCTACCTAAAATTCTATGGCACTTACTTACAATTTGCATTTTTTAAAAAATCAATTTGAATTTTTAAAAAAATAAAAACTTAAGAGTTACAGAACTAAAAGCAAGTGCATGTTTTTTATATCAAGCACTAATATACTCTAATGAGTAAAAGGAACGCCCACTCTATCAATACAACATATAGAGATCCAATTAAGGAATTCATGTGTTCATGCTTTTGTTAGTAGTTTCTCTTAGTGGAAAATGTTTCATCTTCCCATTGACTAAATAACTAATAAACACAATCAGAAGAGAAAACTTCCTCAAGTAACATGTTCACAATTAGCTTTATTCATAGGAATAATTTCTACCTGAATGGCAATATTGCGATCCTGAGCAACTTCAAGTTCTTTGTTTTTCTCAGTTAGTGCCTTCAGTTGATTGTCTAAACAAAAGAAATTTTATAAACATACACACACATATGCTTAAAATGTACAATGCCAGTTTTTATCCAACTACCACCCACACACATTTTAAAAATAAGAAACTAAGTCTCAAAAAGGCTGAGCTGTCTCACATCGCATTCTAAATTCATGAATACATCTCAAATTTACTGTACTTCTAGACCAAACTTTTAAATATGCTATCCTTTCCCCAAAATCTTAGTTGTGATCATTCTGGCTAACATTTACAAGAAAAAGCACAGGCAATTATCAATTTCCTTATCTTTCAATGACATCTTCCAAGTCAATCACAAAAATCAGTGAATTATATTTAAAAAGAAGAAAACTGAGGAAAAAAGACAAGATCAAGATAGTAAATAACATTTACCCCCATCTTCCCCTCCCTCTCCCTTTTCCAAATCTCATAAAGAACCTGCAATCACAGTCATTTTCCTGAAATTGTTCAGCACCACTGCCTTACAGACCTTGTTATTATGCCAAGGAAAAACTATTATGTACAGATGATGAACCTGATCAAGTTACTCAGTAAGTACTTATGATCTTAGCAGTACCTTTTCGAATACCATGTCTACTCTGGCAAGGGAAACAAAAGAAAATATAAACAAATGGGACTACATCAGACTAAAAAGCTCTGCAAAGCAAAGGAAACCATCAACAAAATGAAAAGACAACCCACCAACTGGAAGAAAATATGTGCAGATCATATACCCAACAAGGAGTTAATTTCCAAAATACATAAAGAACTCATACAACTTAAAGACAAAAAAATGAAACCTGATCAAAAAATGGGCAGAGGATACAAACAGATATTTTTCCAAAGAAGATACACTATACATGTACACATACCATCCTACAAATACGTCATATGTTTTAAAAATGAGATGTGCCAAAATCAGCTGAAAAAAGTTATAACCCAAACAAATAGCTGATGGGCACAGATCAGTTAAGAAAGAAGGTTGAAATTTCAACCACTCTCTTGATTACTAGCTTCCTGTGTTTCCAATCAAATTAAAATCCAACTATATCTAATAACAAATATTATGCCCCTACTCCATAAAGATCTTTCCTGAAATTTACCTTCTTCTATTATAAGCACTGCATGTAATAAACATCATCCTTCCAAGAAATGTCAGGACGTTTAACTAAGATCTTGTGTACCCTCTAGGACTTTAATGATGTAAGAAAACAAATTAAGAAGGAAATCAGCTACCTATCTTTCACAAGAATTAGGCCTTAAAAAGAGAATAGCCCGAGATTCACAAATATTTATAAAAATTATAACAAAGAGGTAAGACATAATAATAGAACTAATAGGCTTTAATTTTCCAACAACATAAAAATAACTGTCACTCTCTTTAATTACTTTTTTACTTGCATAATGCTTTAGCCTTTTCAAAAGGCTTTCAAATATATCTCATTTGATCTGTACAGCTGTGTAAGTAGATGGACATGCGGTTCTAGCCATTTTATAAACACCAATCACATACTGTTATGATTCACATATGGCAAAAGAGCCTTTACTTGCAGTTGGAATTAGAACCCAGGCCTCTTGATCATTAAGCCCTATGTTCTTAGTATCACTGAGTGAAAAATCAAAATATCACCATAAATGAAAATGACACTTAACTAGAATTTTCACATATAGTGAGTAAACGTTTCCAAAGCATACAAAGAGATGTTTGAAGATCTGAATAGTCCAAGAATATTATAGAGATATAATTAATACTTACTGAGCTTCTCCAGCTCAAGCCGCAAGTTTTGGCACTCCCGGGTCTCATTCACAAGTCTCTCCTGACTGTGGGACAGCCTCTTCTCTATCTCAAAGTACTGTTGTTCTACAGAAAAGCAGAGAGAAAAATGAAATCAAACACACAGGGACACACATGGTTGATACTGCTAATTATTTTTAATAACTTGACTTTAAAATTTAAGACACAGTATTAAAATTGCACTCCAAATAAGAATTGAACAAGAATTACCTTGAGCAAAGGTAAGTCAAGCACGGGAAAGGACTTTAATCTAACACTTCCAACTGACTTATACATACATGACAAATGAAAATAAGGCCTAAAGGGGTTTTACAATTTACTTGTCTATCTCTCTCACAAGATTATGAACTACTTCAGGGCAAGTGACATATTTATCTTAGTATTTTCCCCACACAACAGCAAACTTCTTAGCATAAAACAGAGTAAAAAAAAATTTATTAAATGGAGAAGAAAATTATTTAAAAACTGCTTTGCTTTAAGAGGCTGTGTTAAAACAGTCACAACCATACCTGAAAATATAAAATTACTAAGTTTATGTAAAAATAGATGTGTTAACTCCCCCTGGGAAGGGACTGAGTGTGTAGTGTTCAGCGTAGTTTCAGGCACTCAATATTCATTGTGCAAATTAACAGAACGCTGTGTACTATATTCAGTGTTGGGATTCAGAGAATTCATTCTCGATATTTATTCTGCTTGCTAATTACATTTTTTTGAAGAGAAAATTTACTCCGAATTTTCAATCAACTTAGCAAAAACCAGTACCCATCGCGCCAAACAACTGGTAAACCAAGACACACAACAAAAACTTTGTGTTTGTGCTTGGATAACTTGCAAAGCTTCTTCTAACACACACTTCAGGAAAAACTGAACTGTATAAGGCAAAAGTAATGGTAATTACTAAGCTCTTAACTTTTCTTCAAGGATGTTCAAGTCACTTTTGTTAGTAACTTTCTTATTTGAGCGTCTACTGTAGGTTATTTATAAACAGGTCTAAATATATTTTCTATCAAATTCCAATTTTTAGAGAGAATTCCGATATGTTAAACGTATTCACCGCACGTTCACTCTATTTCCAGCGCTGTCTCACGCACTCACTCATTTTGGTGACCATCAGCTCGTTACCGGAGCACAGCGACACACACACACGCTCAACGTAAGCGCACGAAACAGTCGAGACAAAGGCCTTTGAAGGCAGGTGCCTTGAAGACTGAGCGGAAATTACTATCATCGTACGTGCAACACACAGAGAGGGTACTCTAGCCTTAGAAAGACAGGGGTCGCGAGTCCGGTGTAAACAGACCCAAACCTTCACAATTTCTGTTTCCCGGACAACCTTCTGTCCCGATATGAGACCCTGCTGATTACAAAGAAAACGGAACTAAACGTGGATTCAGCTTGAAACAAACAAAAGGCTCCTCGGGATCAAAGTGTGAGAGGAGCAGGTAAGAGAAGGCCTCGGGGGCCCGGGGAGCAGGAAAGCGATGCTCCAGGGGGGTCGCAGGCCGACAGCCAGGCTGCCAGCGGAGAAGCCCAGCCCTAGCTACCAAGCCGGGCCCAGACCCCCGGCGGGAAGATCGGCGCACTTACCGCTCTCTACCTTAAACTTCTCGTGCCGCCCCTTGAGGCCATCGATCTCGGACTGCTGGTCAGCAAGGAACTTCTCGAGTTTGTTCTGGACGGACTTCGGCAGCTTGTTCAGTTCCGCGCGCTCCAGCACTTGCTGCAACACCGCCGCCATGTCGCTGGGGCCGGGGGCCGCGGCGGCAGCGGCCGACGGAGCAGAAACCGAGAAGAAAGGCGAAGACCAGGAGGACCCAGAGGCCTGGGCGGCCGCCTCTGTGGCCTCGCTCACGGGCTCCCGCGCGCCTGCCCGCCGGAGACTCCCGCGACGGGACCCTGGGAAATCGAGTCCCGCTTTAGCGCCGGCGCCACAGCCGCCCCACCGCCCGCGACCGAAATGCGCGCGCAGCTGCTAGCCGCCGTGCACCCTGGGAATCCGAGTTCAGAGGCGGCCTCTGACCCCCGTCAGGCACGCCGACTTCCGGCACCCCTTTCCGCCCTGCAAGCCTCGCAGGCTTCTGGGAAACGTAGTATTTTTCTCAATCTCTTCTGTGAGCCCAATTCCTCACCACCCATTCCGCTGACTCCTTTCTCCCCGCCCCCCGGCTCTCCTCGCCCAGCCGCGTGATCACTGTCCGCGAGGTGGCGCCATATAGTACTTGTAAGCCACGTCCCTCCCTGAAGAGTTGGGCGACCTTACCGTCAAAGCTCCGGGATGCCATGGGGCGTCCTCTTTGGCGGCTTCTAGACACTGAGCCACTAGAGGGCATCGGTCCCGACAGGGCTGGACGGCAGGGGCCAGGTTGCTGCCACGCTCTCAATGGCGCCCGCAAGGGGGCGGGGGGGCCACCGCAGTCGCTTTGGCTGAGGCGCTGCGGTAAAGGGAGGGGGCAGCTGCGTCATCATTCTGCACCACCTGACTCTAGAGACCCTGGGTTTGGAGTGGGAAGTGTGGGCAGTCCGTCGCTTTCTGATGAACTCATGGGCTGTGGAATTGGCTACGGAGGGGCATCTGGCTCCTGGAGGCTGCTTCTTGCGCCCTAAACTCGCTTCTTAGGTGGACTGACTGTTGGACGGATTTGTCTGCCACGCGTGCACATTCTGAGTACAGGTGAGTCAGCCTAAGGGTGTCCTACGCGCTTGTGAGGGTTGGATGTGTGCACTCAAGCACAGAGACCTTCGTTTGCAAGGAAGAAAGAGACAGAGTGTAGAAAACATATGGACAGGCACTCCGGCACAACTCACTCAAGTCCAGCTATGACAGACTTGCATTATTTAAAATAATGTACTTAAATGCCTTTTTTTTCCTTGGTGGCAGGGTGGGTAACAGTAATGCAAGAGGAATTTAAGGAGCCCCGTTCATTTTTCAGGAAGAGGATTTAAAGAAACCGAGAGGAGTCTGAGTGTAGCCCTTGTTTTTATGTTTGAAGGTAACATTGCAGAAAATGTTACCTTATGTTTATATTTTTTAAATTGAAAAACTGTTGTAACAGAAGTTTTTAAACACATTCGTAAAAACCACTTCTCACCCGGCCACCATAACAGAACTACTTGTTTCCAGATCGTAATTCTGTGACTTCCAAGCTGAATCTGTAGATTTTTTTCAGGTTTGATTACTCTTCTAAAAGAATTTACTAAATTATTTATTGAAAATAAAGCACTCCTAATGTCGTCCTCCCTTTAATTCCCACAGTAGCAGTTTTTTGTGAATATCAGTAAGGAGCTTAAGGTTGATTCCCCCCCAGAATATTTTGTATAAGCACTTTAATTGAAGTTGCTGGTATATGCAGTACTGTACTATGTCCTAGGCCCACAATATTATCGTGTTATTGATCTATCATTTGGAAAATACTGATGTTCTGTACTTGGACTCATCGAATCCTAAAATTACATAGGTTTTCAGACCTGTTATGATCTATATTCTTTATTTTGTAGCCTAGGAAACCAGAGTCCAGGAAAGATGAGTTGTCCCAAATCATAGTGCTTGGACAACTTGCAAAGCTTCTTCTAATACACATTTCAGGAAAAATTGAACTGTATAAGGCAAGATCTACATTTTTTAGTAATGTCCTTTATAAAGTATGGTTGGCTACATTTAAAAATTTTGAAGGAGCACTACAAAAAAAAAAATTATCTAACATTCAACCAGATTTCATAGTCCAGTAGATTGTCATTTTCCTGTTAGATTCAGTTTCTTAAACGTTAACGTGGCTAGTAGGTGACATTTTGGAAAAAATAAGATTAGGAAGTTTCGTATCATAACTTTGAAGTCACTGCTATTTCTTGCAAGAATTAAGAACTATTAGGGCACAAGGAAAAGGAGTACAATAGCGTGATGAAGTAGAGGAAAGTTTAATACACAGAAATGCGTACCTTAAGGCACTACTAAAAGTGGAAAGCCCTCAGCTTTATAGAAGCATTAATGATTTAAACAGGCAGTTCTAGAGTTAGTCTAAAAAAAAGGTGGGCAAACCTGATTTGCACGGTTGTCAGAAAAGAGCTTGGAAGAAGTTTAATGTGTTTTGAGACAAGTCTGAACAGTCTCTTTGAAAAAACAGCATCCAATAGGCCATTTCAAACTGGAACCAATTCTCTGAGCTTTAGTTGTAGAGTAATGCAAAATCATTGTGACTTGCAGTTTACTGGTGTTAGATATACCACCTCAGCACATCTATAGTTAGTTGCCTTGACTTTGTTGTACTAAATAAGATTGAAATTTTTTACAGAACTCAAATGACTATTATCTCTTTTCAAAATGCTGCAACTGTGTTCCTACAGTCTCTCTATATCTATTTATAGCTTTTCTGAATATCATCTTTTTACATTTTTTGTCTCCCGTACTGAATGTGAACTTGAGGTCATCATTCATCATTGTCTAGCTCTTTTATTCGGCATCTTTGGTTTTAAGTGACAGAAACTCAAAGGAGCATAAGCCAGTAAGAGGAATATACTGGTTCTTATCCACAAACTGGAGAGAGAGAGCAGAACAGGAGTTACCCTCAGTAAAAGTTTAATTGAGAGACTGGGTATCTTTCTTCAGTATGAGCGTGGTCTTTAAGGGCATAAATTCTAGAGCCAGACTGCCTAAGTCCCACCTTTGCCACTTACCAGCTTTGTCACTTGGGCAAGTTACATTACCTTTCTTCATTTCAGTTTCTTCATCTATAAAATGAGGATTATAATAATAGTACCTACCTCATGGAGTTTTTGTGAATATTAAATTTTACCACATGTAAAGTACTTAAAAAAAGGCCTTAGACAAAGTGGGAGCTATACAAATGTTCATTATTATTACATTGCTATTTATCTACTTCTGTAACTCTTAGGGTACTATAAGTTACTCAAGGACAGAGGTCAAGTATTACTCATCTTTGTACCATCTCACCTAGCACAATTTCTAGCACATAGTAGTTCTTCATAGTATGCTTATTGACTAAATGCATTTGATTCTCTCTACCTCCCCATGAGCAACTCAGAAATTATCTTTCCTATTTTAGAAATGAGCACCCTGAGGCTCGGGAATAGCTTATCAAACGTGATGCAGCTAAAGAGTAGTAGATCCAAATAAGAAATCAGGTATGCTGACTACTAGTTTAGTGGCCTCTCCCTTATCCCAGGTATGGAAATAGGTTTTCTCTCTCCTGTCAACTCTGGTTGGTTGGTAGTCATTGCCTGCAGCACTGTGTTGAGAATTCTGAAGCTACGTTTAACTTTGCAAGAAAGAATCCCCTATTTAATAAGGAGTCACACTGCAAGGCATGGGGTCTTATCAGGGTCTTATCTTGCTATACTGCTCTCATGAGGAACATATTACAAATTGTATTTTTACCTAAAAATGCTATGTATTTTTTCTCATAATTTAGGAAAGTGAATTAGTTCTCAATAATGGGAAGAACCTATATTGTAGAAGAGAGTGTTGGCCAGTATCTTTCAAACGTCAATCTCCAAGGAAAGGATTTTGTCTCTGGTCTTTTAATAGGGCAGGTATGTATCTTTTACTGTCTTTATTGATAAAAACAAATTACCTGTTCATTAAAGTTAAAATATGCTATTTAACAATAAACTCAAGATGAGGGGATGGAGGGATGGAATGTAGAAGTAGTAAATTTAAAATGGATTTTTGAGGGAAAATGTGGAGAAGTCAGGCAAACCCAGCTCAGGTTTGCCCAAGTCAGAACACATTCCCTTTTGACCATGTAAAAGTAGTTTATAATGTGGAAACTCCAAAATTAGAATTTTTCTAACCAGATTATTTATATTTTGTTGTCTTTCCAAAGTGTTTTGTACTCCTTTCTAGTCTTTATTAATTCCTGGTTGTCCAATTCTTTACAAAAGTACCTCTTGACAATTTTATTCCCATTCTAGTTTGTCTTATCTCAGACATGTAGGAACAGTGGTCATATATTTTGTTACATATTTTGGTGCCCATCTTATCGAATTTTTTTTTTAACAATGATTCAATGGAGAGGAAGGGGAAGGGAGAAATTTGGAAATTAAACAAATTCTGTTTTCCTCTTAGAGTTAAGCCTGAAAAATTAACACAAAATGGAACGGAGATTTGGGCAGTTACTTTAGAAAGCGTAAGCACCCACTTCCTTTGAAGGAAGAATGTGTTAATCAGCAGGGAGGACTGATCACCAGTACAAAGCAACAAAAAAAAAGGAGAGTTGCACAGACAAACCAGCTATGTCTGTCTAAACCTATTTAGTGGAGAATGCACTGTGGCCCAAGGACTTGATTTAGAGGCCTAGTAGGAAATAAAGCTCTATTTGACAATTTCTTTCTGGATATTTTATCATGATGCCTAGAATCTTCAAATTCTATAATTAACCTTCCTTTTTCTAATTTTACCCATGTTCCCAGTCTACTTTTCTCTTATAATTTGATGCCCTATGTTACCTACTTATAAGTAACACGCTGTTCAGAGGGCTCGTGTGTTCATGCTCCATCATGATATTCTAGTTGTCAGCATCATTCCAAATGAGCTTTGTAATATCAATCTAGCCCTGAAAGACAGGTTCATTCTCAGAGTTTTCACAAATCCGATTTGTTAACTTGTGAGACGAAGGGCAGACCCTGCACTGTTCACCCACGTTGTACTACCCCATGAGGCCTCTCATTAGATAGCCAGACCTTGGCAACAATTTTAACTTCTTTTTGATTCAGGTTACTTAACATCTAATATGGGGCTTTTTTTTTTTTTTTGGCTAGGAAATTTTTATTTAAAGTTTTTTACTTCCCTTTATTTTAAAAATTTAAGGGAAAAAGGGTCTTAGAAAAAAGATATGATCAGTAAAGATAAAAGGTCAGGAAGAAATACTCTCTTCCAAACTTCCCGTACTGCACATAGGCTGTTTCTAGAGCTCAGTGAAACCACCCTCTTACAAATAAGTCTCCCACAGTTTAGGACCTTCCTTCCAGTCTTTCTTCATGTTGCCTTTTCAGTCCTTTCAGTATTCTTCATGTTCCTTCTTCCTCTTTATTCCAGGGTTCATCACTTTTCTCTCCTTCTCCTCAAGCTTGCATGTTTCCTACTCCCAGAGTCAGTTTCTTTTTCTTTTCAAAGTCGTAAATTTTATAAAAAGGAAGAGCTTTCTTAATGAGCACCTACCTTTTCCTGTTTGCCTTTGAAATGTAACTTTCTGAAAATAACTTTTGTAGAAATAATTTCTCTTCCTTTATTTTCTATTCCAGGATGACACTAATGATGGGAATTTCAGTTTATGTATGAGTATGACACCATGCTAGCATGTATTATCAGCCTCATTTTCACTCTTTCTTTATAGGAAACTTTCATTGTAATGAGACTGAGCTATTAAATGTGCCCTAAATTTATCTTTAGGTTTCCCACTTTTGGTTACCATTTAACTGCTGTTAAAACGGAGAAACATAAATCTGTTATCACTTCAATTATGTGTCCCACATCCCCTTTGTTTTTCTGTGCACACATATGTGCAAGTTCCTCACTATTATTGTATCCATGAATTAAGTGCATCCATGTAAGATGCACAAGGTCATTTGTTGCTTTATTTTACTGAGTTTTTACATTTGCTGAACCATTCAATCTGTTCAAGTTATGTAGGACACAAATACAATAATTAGAAAATTGGCCAAGCGTATTATCTTGTAGTTTGAATGCAGTTTATTTACTCATCCAGTAAGCCATTTTTAAGGACCACTATGTGATTCACATTCAGGATGCCCAATTAAATAAGGACCTGATATTAAATATATTAAAAGGTAAATAACATGTGAGGGAAACATTGTAAGGCTATCCGTGAAAAATTGGTTTCCCCATAGATTTCATTATAATACAGTCATGTGCTGTGTAATGACGTTTCAGTCAATGATGGACAGCATACACAAGGGTGGTCCCATAAAGTTAGTACCATATAACCTGGACATCCAGTAGCCTATACCATCTAGGTTTGTGTAAGTACACTCTATGATGTTTGTACAACAATGCAATCACCTCATAACACATTTCTCAGAATATGTCCTCATTGTTAAATGATGCTTGACTGTGTACGTATTAACAATTTAAGCTGCCAGAAACATTCAGTTTTTGCGTGTTATAAGAACTTTACATTCCTCAATCAGATATCACTCTAAGAAACTTTTCTTTTTTTTTTTTTGTTTTATTTCCCAACCCCCCCCAGTACATAGTTGTATATCTTAGTTGTGGGTCCTTCTAGCTGTGGGATGTGGGATGCCACCTCAACGTGGCCTGACGAGCGGTGCCATGTCCGCACCCAGGATCCGAACCCTGGGCTGCCGCAGCAGAGTGCACGAATTTAACCACTCGGCCATGGAGCCGGCCCCTAATAAACTTTTCTAATTTGTTTTTAAGTGTTCTTCACAAAAGGATTATGTGATTCTTGCCGCTAGAACACCACCCAACGAGGAACAAAATGAGAACCTCAAACATCCTAAAGCTAAGTTGGATAACTTGGATGAAGAATGGGCCACAGTACATGCCAACCAGGTCATCATATTTGTCTCTTCATATGGTTAAGTTTGTGTTCATTAACAAAATAAAAGCACTTGATCCTCAGGTTACTAGACTAGGATTTCAGAGTACCCATTCTTAAGTTTTCAAAACTTGCATAGTATATCAGAAATAGAAGTATTTTCTGCTTTGTTGCATCCATGATTATATTTTTTATTTGTTGATTACTTGTGTCTAATTTTTAAAGTGCATTTTCTTGTTTGAAGTTATGTAAACTGCCCAAGATTACATATTAAGTGGTGGAACTGAGATTTGAACCCCGGCAGTCTGACTTGAAAGCTTCTGATATTTTGTGCTATACTTTTCCATTGTTAACCTTTGGCCATTGTATTTTTTAACCTATCTCCTGTTATTGGTCATTCAGCTTATTTCCAATTTTTTTTACCTTAAAATAATACTAGTTATTGATAATACAGTTGCGTATCAGATTGTTGATGATTTAATCTAGGTACCAAGGGAATAAAATGATGATTAAATTTTTTTAAATGTCCTCAGAATTTATATTTTAACCAAAGTGGAAGACATTATTACCAAAACCAATTATAAGAGAAGTGAAATAAAAGTAGAAAAGTGCTATAGGAATATAGAGTGGAGATTGGTTAAATATCTGCCAATGGCTGAATTCACACAGCTTCACAGAAGGCCCTGAACTTGAAAGATGAATAGGACTTTGTCAGTAGAAGTCAGGGAACACACTGAGTGCACAAAGGACAGTATGGATAAACGACATGAAAGTTAAAGGTATGTTAGGAGGATAGCAAGCAGCTGGGTATAATTGAGACACAGGGTATGTAAAAGAATGATTCGGACATAAGACTGTCGGGGGCCAGTTTATGGATGATTTTGGAGTGCAGTCTTAAGAAGTGAAGAATTTGCTTGGTAGACAGTGCCTCGATGGTAGACCTTCAGAGCTTCCTATTTTTGAGAAGGAGTTAATATAATTGACCTGCCAATAACTTAGAAAATGATTTCAAAGTCTTGGCACAGTGTAAATGGAGAGTAGAGAGACTGGAGATGGAACAGAGAACACAGTTACAGTAGTAGTTCAAAAAAAGGTGATATGAGCCTGAACTAGACTCTAAACTTCGTGAGGACAGGGGTCATGTCTGTTTGCTTTGTGGCTGTATCCTCAGTTCCAAGCATAGTGTTTCCATGGTATATAGGCGAACTCCAAAATCCTGGATAAATGAATGCATGAATAAACAAACTAATGCAGTGGGCTAAAAATTCATTGCCAGAACATTTTAGAGAAGGAGCTAGTATAATGATTTAGTGACCAAGTAGATTGGGAGTGAATAGATTATGAGGGACTAGCTAAAGATTATTGAGATTTTTTTAGCCTGGGTATCTAGGAAGATGGTGTTGCCATTACACAAGGAGGAAACAGATTTGGGGCTGGCTGAGAGGGAACGATGAGTAAATTCACTTAAAAAATAGTTATTAAATGGAATATATAATCTAATAAAGAATGTTAAAGTAAGGTAAAAGTAGAATTATTTCCATCTCCAGTCAACTTTAAACCTTTTAAACACACACACGTTTACTGTTGTCTGTGTATGTGTTTGTGATGGGAGGGTGGTATGTAGTTATAAAAAAAAAAAATCCAGGAAATATTTAATACCATCTTCTAATGAAAATATTAAATATTTTAAACTTAATTTCCCAATGGTTTGTAAATAACTTTCTACTCAAATTTTGCTTTTGGTCTCTTATAAAATTATATACAGTCATGCATCACTTAATGATGGAGATGTGTTCTGAGAAATGCATCCTTGGCGATTTCGTCATTGTGCAAGCGTCATAGAGCGTATTTACACAAACCTTGATGGTATAGCCTTCTACATACCTAGGTTGTATGGTGCTAATATTATGGGATTGCTGTTGTATATGCGGCACTTGACTATATATATACACACACACATATATGTATATAGAAAGAGTGATGTGTATTTTGTGTATATATGAATATATATGTATACACAAACGTGAATTTATTTATATAGCAAAATAGATTAACCTTTTTGCTTCTGGAAGGAAACAGTTGGTTAATTTTACGTGTTGGTGATTTTGAAGAGATACATAGGTTCCCCGTGCTAAATATGAAAACTTTATTCTTTATTTATATGTCCAGCTTGTGTCACTATAGTAAATAAAATGTATGAAGTCAGAGGGAACCATCAGCAGATACAATGTAAATATATTAGGGCTTAGACTGTGGTATCCAATTTTCTGAAGACTTAACTTTGTGATCACTTTACATATGCATCAAGTACACAAAAGATAACCAAAGCACTCAGACCTCAGAGTATAGGTGGCAGAAAGAAATCCTTGTGGTATTAAGAACTAGCCACAAGCATGTGAAGAGAAATAACAGCTATTGTGGAGGACAAACTGGTAGTATGTATCAAAAAACCTTAAAAATAGGCATGACTTCTTAATCTAGTAATCCGCTTCAAGAGATTTATCCTAAGCAAATAATCCTGTGAACATAGAAAGACTTGCTAGGATTTTTAACCAATATTATTTTAAAGTAAGGAAAAATTGGAAATAACATAAATGCCCACTATCAATAAAGAGGTTTAAAAAATTGAGGTAAGCGTAAACAATAGGAAACAGTGGATTTTCAGGTTGGACTCCTTCTGTTCAAATCCCAGGCTCTCGTATTGTGCTGAATGTTACAGAAATACAAGGGTAGGTGAGAATCACTTCTTCCCTGAAGAATCTCCCAGACCTGCTAGTAGGCTACGCAGATAACTGTAATACAGGCTCATGTGATAAGCTTCGTGGGAAAACTACACCGAAGTCCTGTGGGAGTTCAGAGAGCAGAGGATTGGGGAAGGCAGCTTCCTCAAGCTGACTTTGAAGTATTCAAGAGTTCTGACATGTAGAAGTATAAGACAAAGTCAATTTAGGCTGAGGGAGCAGCTCGAGTAAAGGTATTGAGTTAGAAAGCCTAGACATACGGATGAAGAACAGTGAGAAGTTTTTGATTGATACTTGAATATTTCAGGGAAAGAAATATCAAATAAGTATCTGAATACCAGATTAGCCAGATTTTGGAGTCTGAAATAACAGTCTACGATAAAATTTGCATTTTATTTAGCTGATAGTGGAAACTATTAAAAAATTTTTAGAAGATATTTTAGTCTTTGATCTCATGAGAAAGGGATTTGTTTATTGGTATAGCTAAAGTGTATCATTATTAAATGGCTTTATTTATAAAGTAGTTTTAAGGTAAAATGTTAAGGACACGCTGGGAAGATTGTGTACATAGTGACACCCCATTCATCTTGTTTATCATCCATTTCCCAGTGTTTTAACCAGTGTTTCAAAGCCCCTACCTCAATTCTGTGCAGATAGTCAGTGCTCAGTAGGTATTTGCTCGTTTAATATTTAGCCTCTCAGACACACAGGATTGCATGTAATGCCAAATGCTTATGTTAGCTAATACTGTACTTCTATTTTAGGTATCCAGAATGCTACCAGGGGGTCTTTTAGTTCTTGGAGTGTTTATCATCACAACTTTAGAAATGGCAAATGATTTTCAAAATGCCCTGCGTAGGGTAAGTCTGAAATATCAAAAATTCTTAATATGATCAAAATTACGTCTTATTTTAATTGATTATATGTGTATACAATGATCCTAGGTATATTTAGATTTAACGTTCCATAATTCTTTATGCTGGGATTATATTGAGACAGCTTTTTCTACCGTGTTGCTTGGTATCTTAAGTGTAAAAAATGTCAATATCTATATTTTCAATCAAAGGTACATATTTTAAAATAATCTTTGTTTTAAAGATAATTTTTTACTATTGTGACACAAGTTGTGATGGTTTAACAGTTGTTCTTGTGCTATCACAGTATTCTGCCAGACCTTCCATTTAGTTCCAAGTGATTGTTATAATGTGAAATTAATAGGTTTTGGGATTCTTCACCTGTTCAATTCTCTCAGGATCCTGAGAATAAAACATACAGTAATAACAATCAGATACTTACTCTTTATTCTTGGACAGAGTGTCTGTCATGAATCCCCAGCTTTTTGTTTTATTCCTACATCAGCAAATTGGGTAACGTAGCCTAGAAGTAGTAGGAAGGGCCGCAAGCTCTTTCCCCTTAAGCCCAAACCCAAAGCAAACTGTGCACCCAGCTGTCATCGCTTTTAGTATTCAGGGTCCAAGAGAAGCTTCAGAAAATTATTTACCGCCCCAGGAGGGGCATATCCCATAATCTTGGAAAGTACAAAACCCCACAGAATTCCAGAAAACTTTCTGGTAAAAAAGTGTGTAGAGAAGAATCCCAGATGCTACAGATACTTCCAGTGTTGTAACCTTCTTTCCTATCAGATGTCCCACCCTAAAACCTTTGGTATTTGTACCTAAGGGAGTAAGAGAAGAATATGAAGATATTCCTCTCCCTTGGCAAGTTATTCAACCTTCTGCCATTTTTTTCATTTTAAATAAATGTATTTTTTACAGTTGTTCATCCTCTTTGGCATTTTGCAATCTGATCGAAATCTATGTGTTGCAATGACATTGTGCATCCGTTTGTGGTTGGCGCTGGATTGAATGAGGTGAATGTAGGCTCAGTGCTAGACACAGTCACGTCTTCCTTTCTTTTGCTTTTGTGTCTCTTTTGTTCCTAAGAAGCATATAAGACTTCAGAAAGGCTGTATTTCAGAAATTATTGAGGTTCAATTATCTAACTTTGTTTCTATTGGCCTGCGTTGAAGGACACTGTAAGAAATAACCTTATAAAACTTGTCAGTGTCTCCTGTAAGGTCATTGTTAAGAACTTTGTTCATTATATTACATAATACCATCTTTGAAGAAATTTCTTTTGATATTGTAATCAAGAAAGTTGTGCCTCTGATCAGTTTTTTGTTTTCAACTTATGGACCATGTGAATTAGGTAACTAATTAGGTTTCCCTGTGCACATTATTGTTAGAAAGCTTAGAGCAAAATTTATGACCCTGCTCCCTATCTCAAATATGCATTTTTATAATTCTTATTTCTGGAATAAATTTTTGCCACTATTTCTGATTTTTTTCACTTTTAGTTTATGTTATTACTATATTTTTTGTGTCCTTATATGTTGCCTTAAATCTTTTGTGACATTTAAGTAAGAAATGCTGAATAGATGAGGTACTCCATTTTTATAGGTTAAAATTTATGTCGTTTCTCATTCTAATTAAAATGAAGTCTTTATTCAGTACTTCACCTAAATGTTAGTTGTCCAAAATTAGTTTTTCATGTCCACTTGGTCATTAATGACAATGAATTATGTTTTTCTATTTAAAACCAAACTTTTATGTATCCCTAAAAATAGAATCCAAATGGTTAATGATCAGTTGCACTTTTAAAGAAAAGAAAATTTAATGACAGAATCATGAGATTTTAAAGCTAGGTGGGAGCTTAGGGACATTATAATTGTCTTTTTCTGCACTCAACTTTCCTTCTTTCATTTTGTATTCAATTGATGTGTGTTTTTCTCTCTTTCAGCTAGTATTTGCTGTGGAAAAATCTATGAATAAAAAGAGACTGTGGAATTTCACAGAGGAGGAGGTCTCAGAACGAGTGACACTTCACATTTGCTCTTCGACAAAAAAGTATCTTTTATTTAAGTCTAGGGTACCAAAATAATGTTCCTGCAAGGTTTTTTCCCAAACATTTGTTTAAGTCATCATTTAAAAAGGCATAGTTTGTAAGTTTTTCTGCAAATACATAATTAGGAATGCCAATAATAGTAATAGTAGTAATGGTTGTTAATCATGTCTCAAGGTTGTAAAGAGTTTGAGAGAGGTGGCAAGGATGGGGATTCTGAGCTCTTTACCAGCTGTCTACCCCCATGTTGAAGTACATTGAAGCACAATAGGTCCCCTGCAGAGAGGTAGATGACAGCTTAGGCAAAGTAACGCTTTCATTATGTTAAATTTCCACCTGTAATTCCTATAGATAAAACGTTAAGTTCAAAGCACAGGTGCGCTGAGCAGTACTGTATTAGGACATCCAAAACATTTTGCATTTCAGTCCAAGATCAAGTGACACTAAGTCAGTTATGGGGCCTCCGTAGCTTCTTTTCATCTGCATCTTGCCAGGGCAAGGTACCTCCCAATTAAGAGGCAGCCTCCCCAAGGGAGCAAAGCAATGCAAGAGCCCAGTATGTTAGGACTGGCAAAAGACAGAATTCAAAAAGTGATCATTCGTGTAGAAGCTGGGCTTGTAGCTCTTTTGCTACGTAACTAGAAAGTTTCATGTACAGGTCCTTTGACCCAGTAAACATTCTCAGGTTTGACTCCATCCAAAACAGCACTTCTGTTTGTTATAGGGGGTGTGTATTTGAGGAAAATTTTGCAAGTGCCTCCATTCTATTCATTGTGATTAGCAGTATTTATAAGCAGTAGGAAATAGTTTAAAGCACCACAAGTACTATAGTCAGAGCAATTTGTATGTATATATTTGTACAAACATACATATATGTGGATATATCTTATGTGTATAAAGTGGTATGATTTTGTAAAAACTCTTGGACGCATGCACTTTATTTTTTGATGGTTTGTTTTCTTTTGATTATCAAGAATTACTTCTCTTTTTTGGTCATTTTTATCCTTAATTAGTAAAGAATATTTTGTCGAACATACGATATCCATGATCCAAAGGTAAGAAAAATTGCTCTTTAAAGATTTTTCTGTTGCAAACTATTTTTAAAATGATTCAATTCTTTGTTTAGTTTTAATAATTTTCAGTGCTGTCACCTCCTTATTGATGTCCACAACTGCCTGTAGTTTTTTATTTTGAAATATTAATTTCATTACAGGCAAGGAAAATTTATGTTTGTTTTTATTTTTAAAATATTTTTATTAAGCTCCCCCTATCTTGTTTATGTGTTTAGTATTATATTTGAGAGGCTGATGGTAAAAGTGTCTGAGCTTTTGGTAGCTACAGTGCTTAGTATGCAAACTACCTGTGCTCAGCAGAATCTAGACTAAGATTTTGCTGAGGTGTCTAAAAGCAATATGAATGAGAAACTTTGCAGTATTCTGCTAGCAAGGATGGGACAGAAGGGAGAATGTCTGGTGCCTAGTAGTAGCTCAGTGATTATTTGTTCCACATCAGAAGCTTCAAAATTAGTGCTGTTGAAGCTATGGATGAGAACTAGAGGACCAGAAGACTTGTCAGAATTCTAAACATGGAACTATCTGACCCTCTTTCAGCCTACCACTGCGGGAGGGAGTTGCCAAGGTTGCCTGGCATGTACTGAAGAATACTGAAGTTAATGCATGCTTTGTTTCTATTTAGTTCTAACCTCTTGCCGTTTGATGAAAGAATTTGGCCAAACATGTTAGATATCAACTTCTATGAATTATTAGGTTGTACATTTTATGATGTTTTATTGATCCATGTATTTTGCCTAAATTACGTATTTTATGTTTTCCTCCCTCCCGCACTGCTAAAGAGTTCAGCAAAACCAGCAGATTGGAAGTATCAAAATGGACTATCAGCTTCATGGCTTTCTTTAGAGTGTACTGTTCATATTAATATTCACATTCCACTGTCTGCTACTTCTGTCAGCTATACTCTGGAGAAAAATACAAAGGTATCAGGGTAAAATGAATTTTATTTAGTGATTGCTGAATAGATTATCTGCTTTTATTCTGGTTGTTTGTGCCATTCTTTTTTTTTTTAAGGATTGGCACCAGAGTTAACAACTGTTGCCAATCTTTTTTTTTTAATTCATCTCCCCAAAGCCCCCCAGTACATAGTTGTACATTCTAGTTATAAGTGCTTCTGGTTGTGCTGTGTGGGATGCCACCTCAGCATGGCCTGATGAGCAGTGCCATGTCTGCACCCAGGATCCGAACCGGTGAAACCCTGGGCCACCCAAGCGGAGCTCATGAACTTAATTACTCGGCCACGGTGCCAGTCCCCTGTGCCATTCTTTTTTTAATCCTCAAAAATTGCATTCTAATTATAGTGGTATCGTTATGGGTAACTAAGATGCTGGCCCGGTGGTGCAGCAGTTAAGTTCGCACGTTCCGTTTCTCGGCAGCCCGGGGTTCGCTGGTTCGGATCCCGGGTGTGGACATGGCACTGCTTGGCACGCCATGCTGTGGTAGGCATCCCACGTATAAAGTAGAGGAAGATGGGCACAGACGTTAGCTCAGGGCCAGGCTTCCTCAGCAAAAAAAGAGGAGGATTGGCAGTAGTTAGCTCAGGGCTAATCATCTTCTTCAAAAAAAATTATGGGTAACTAATTTATTACTCCAGCCAGATTAGAAATTTAGAGGTGGGACAATGTCATAATAATAATATATTTAGCATAATGGGTGCTCTATAAATATTTGTTAATTAACATATAGTTCTGTACATTGTAAAATATGGTTACATAAAATATAATTGTGTAAGAAGATATACCATTTGGTCTTTTTGCTTTCTCTTGGTCTTTAGTTTTGTTTTCCCTTTTTCAATCTGTTTTTTGTGTTTCTATACCATTCTTTTATTCATATCTCATTTGTTTTTTCCTGTTTAAGGAGGCAAATGGAGCTTGCTTATTTTTTCCTCTTTAATACTACTGTATATATTTGTTTGAAGCTCTTTATCCTTTCTGACTTTTTTTTTTTTTTACTGAGGAAGACTCACCCTGAGCTAACATCCATTGCCAATCTTCTTCTTTTTTTTTTATTTGAGGAAGATTAGCCCTGAGCTAACATCTTTGCCAGTCTTCCTTTATTTGTATGTGGATTGCCACCACAGCATGGCTGACAAGTGGTATTGGTCTGTGCCTGGCCTCCAAACCAGCAAACCCAGGCTGCTGAAGTGGAGTGTGCGAACTTAACCACTACACCCCTCAGGCAGGCCCCATCTGACTTTCTTTTAAGATAATGGGAACTATTGAATTTTATTTGACTGTGGTCATGTAGTTATAAAGCCTCCTAAGTCTGTGATATGTATGTTTGGGATAAAGATTAGAAAAACTTATTAAATATGGATAAGGTGCCAAAAATTGGGGGTATACTTTTGTTGTTGTTTATGAGACTGAATTTAAGTGCTACGTTACTGATCCTTGGGGACTTTTAATATTTCAGTGTATTAGGTAGGAAAAAATAGACTCTAGGGGGTTTAATCGAGAAAGCATTATTTCTGAAAGATATCCATGTTGTGTTTCTTTTAAGAATGGACTTGCACGCTGGGCCAAGCAAATAGAAAACGGTGTTTATTTGATTAACGGACAAGTTAAAGATGAGGATTGTGACCTATTAGAAGGACAGGTGAGTTAAGAGAAAATCATCTTAATTATGAAATTATTTGTGCTTAGGGAAAAATAAAAGATGACTTATCCTTAGTTCTTTAGTCCTTGTCTTCATGAAGACAGTTTTCATCTACTTCTTATTTCTAAGGTCTTTTAAAGTAAAAGACAAATGTTTTTCTGAGAAAATGGTGGGAGATTATTTCTGAAATAATCGGAATCTGGAAACCTGAAGAAGAGAGTGTCATCCAAAACTCTTGTGATTTCCAAATTATCAGCTACTTAAAACTGTAGACCCATGTTCCGCCCTGATAGCTGTTTGAAAACTAAGTTTGGCATTTTATAGGAGGCATCTATATGGGCTTCTAAAATAACTTTGGTCTGAAGAGGATCTTTAGTGATCTCTCTTTTTAGAGCAAGGTCAGCAAACTTTATGAAAAAAACCAGATAGTAAATATTTTAGACATCGTGGGCCATGTGGTCTCTGTTGCAGCTATTCAGCTCTGCTATTGTAGCAGGAAAGCAGCCACAGACAGTATATAAATCAATGATCTTGGTTGTGTTCCAGTACAACTTTATTTTCAAGACTGATAGTAGTCTGGATTTGACCCATAGGCCGTAGTTTGCCAATCCTTGCTTTAGAGGAATAAAAGCAAGGAATTAATGGTTTTTAAGAGTACACGTTGATTGATAGAGGTTACACAAAGTAACATATCTATAGAAAAAGCTAAAATAAAAACAATACGACTTTTTTTCTCTAAATTTCTTAGTATATGTAGGATAGTTCCGAAATTGTCTTTTATGTTCCACTCCAATCTCAACAATTTAGTTTTTTAACTTTTGTGTTTTTTCAGAAAAAATCTTCTAGAGGAAATGCTCAAGCAACTAATCATTCTTTTGATGTCAGAGTGCTAACACAGTTGGTAAATATTTTAAAATACTACTTGTCTAAATATGTTATTTCTTAGACTAAGCATAATGAAATTGTTTCTATCTTTATAATTAGAGAATCAAAAAGTTTTAGAGCCATAAGGGACTGTGAAATGCATGCAGTTTTAGGGAAGTTATTCCCAAGAAACATTATTTTAATAAAACTTTTTTGGATCTTTTGCAGCAAGGTGATTAAAATTTTAACATCAAGTAGATAGCAATTTAAAAATATATGTATACATATACATACATACTACGTGTGTGTGCATATTTGTGTATAATATTTTGGGTGTAAGGTTTGTAAGCAGAGTTGCAATTCTTAACAACTACAAGTAAAAGATGTGTGCACATACGTACCAAGAGTTGTCATATACTTAATTTGACGTAGATTTATACCTCCTCTGATTTGACAAAAATCACAAACTATTAGCAAGTTTTATATTTTTAGATGGTGGTTTTAAGTTACACATCTCTTCTTTTCAGAAATTGAAAGTTGGCTATCTGGAAAAATAAAAAGTTAAAGCCACTAATTATTCCTAAAAGTATGCATGCCTTTAATTTTAATCCTGCTTGAAATTATCCTAGAGAATAGACAGGGTATAAAATTCATCCGTGTTTGTAGAAAACTTTTCATTTCAATATTATACTGGAAATGTTGAAACGGAAATACTACCAGGATTTGTGTATTTTTTTAACTGAATAAAATAGATGTTGGCATATGAGGATATTTTAATTTCTTTTCTACTTTCTCTGTGTTTAGCAATAGATCATTACTAAATTGTCATTGGACTTATGCCACTCAACATTTGTTCTCAATTTCTCTTCTCAATACCTTAGAAGTATTTTTAGTCTTTTGTTTTCCTCCTTCCTTTTGATTTTAGAAGTGTTCTTTGTTTTAAGGCTGTTCCTCTACCTATATGCTTTTCACTAGTTGCGCTTATGTGATATCTTGGTTTATTAAACAAGTCAATTAGAATTATCTTAGTGATAAAATATAGTCGGGAGATGTATAGAGTGTGGGAATATAGAGACAAGAGTGGAAGATAGTATCATAAGAAATAATTTACTGTTATAATATTTAATATCATATAATGTAATTTATTTTTGTCACTCATTCCACTGGTCAGCCAGCTGGAAACTTTAAAATGACCAACATATAGTAGGTAGTCAATAAGTACTTGGTGCCACTTTCCTCCCACTCAACCTCCATCTAGTCTTGTTTCTTTCTTTGCAGTGTTAAGCTCATCTTTTATTTTCTATATAGTCCCACTCCCATTAACCTTACGACATTATTTTAAATAACGTTAAAAATATCTGTGAAACATCTCAAAACCAAGCATGAACTAACATCACTTAGACTAAAGAAGAGTGAGACTGAGATGTAAATGATTTTTTACAACCACTAACATCATTTTCTGGTGACAGGCCTAGTTGACTTGCCTTTTTTCTGCTGTGGAGTTAATATAGCAGGACTTTCGGTCTATGACAGTTCTGAGTTGAAAGTAAATGAGTGGCTATACATTGCTTGCAATTTTACCATGTTTATCACATTCTGCTTTGTATTCCAGTTATTTTTGTACAAATCTTATGTTGTATATCTTATATCTCCCACTAGATCATGTCTTCTTTATTTATCCTTTCATCTCAACAGTACTTATCTGAGTAATCTGCAAATAATATATTTTTAGTGAATATGTTGGTGAATGAATATTTTAGTGAATGGATATTGGTACTTTAGATGGTTATTTTAGTAAGAAAAAATCTAGATGTAATTGTGTTTAATTTCAGAGTACATTCAAAAGACTCAGAAAATAATACATAACTTATAAGGGGAAATATGAAGGCCTTTAAAAAATTTATAGAGAATGTTTTTTAAAACTTGGTTCAGTCAAAAATGTCTTGCTTCGTGAAATGGCTTATATAATGTTTAAATGTTTCACATTGTTAATAATTGTTGGCTGTTAGAGCCTAAACAGATTTTGTCTTTCAGCTTCTGAATTCAGACCACAGATCCACAGCCACAGTCCAGATCTGCAGCGGCTCTGTAAACCTTAAGGGTGCTGTGAAATGCAGAGCTTATCTTCATAGCAACAAACCCAAGGTTAAAGATGCTGTGCAGGTACAAAAGGAGTAACTGGTATATGAGAAACAGAAGCATGTTAACAGAACTATTCAAAAATCCTAAAATTTTATCTTTTTTCAATCTCAGATTTCATAATTATTAATTTGATTTTAACGGATTAAAACCCAATCTATTGGATGGTCCAAATATATCATGTAATTGGTCCTGAAATTTTCATATGTAGAATATGTATCTTATGTCTTTTTTTTTTTTTTAAGATTTCACTTTTCCTTTTTCTCCCCAAAGCCCCCCAGTACATAGTTGTGTATTTTTAGTTGTGGGTCCTTCTAGTTGTGGCATGTGGGATGCCGCCTCAGCATGGCTTGATGAGTGGTGCCATGTCCACGCCCAGGATCCAAACTGGCGAAACCCTGGGCCGCCGAAGCAGCGCGTGTGAACTTAACCACTTGGTCATGGGGCCGGCCCTCTTATGTCTTTTTTAAAGTGATGATTATACAAGTTTGTTTGAAGTGCTCCACAGCTATGACATATTAGTATATTTGATACATTTCTTCTGAGGGAAATTGAAATTTTTAAATAACAGGAAAAGCATTTATAGGAAGAATAATTAGATAGTGTTCTATAATCTATGTAAATTCAGAAATTTAAAAAAGGACAACTGGCACTTTTGTCATAGTTATGTACTTCCTAATTTGAAACACTAGCATTATTTGTTTAGCTGCAAAATTTTATTCATTTGTTTGGTTTTAATTTACTATTTAGAGGAAGTCTAGGCAAATTTGCTATTAAACTGTTAATGTATTAACAAGCATGTTAAATAAATGGACATTAAAAATGGAATAATGTACCAGTTATTTTTGTGGGGACGGTTGTAACGGGAAACCAGTTATATGGGGGTTTTTTGTCAGTGAAATAATGCAAATATAAAGTAACACTTTATTTCTTATTGTGATTTGTTTTGTTCTGTTCTCCGTAGGCGGTGAAGAGAGACATATTGAATACAGTTATTGTGATTTGTTTTGCTTTGTTCTCCGTAGGCGGTGAAGAGAGACATATTGAATACAGTTATTGTGATTTGTTTTGTTCTGTTCTCCGTAGGCGGTGAAGAGAGACATATTGAATACAGTTGCGGACCGTTGTGAGATGCTGTTCGAGGATCTGCTTCTGAATGAAGTTATGAGTATAAAATGAAGTACTCTTCTTTGCATGTGTTCAACTGATACAATAATAGGATGTCAAGATATAATAGATATATCATCTTTTATAACTAACTGTATCTATCTTTTATAATAATATGTCACCTTTACTTTTCTTAATGAATGAAAATTTTTCAGTTGCCACCCCATAAAAAGCTTTTGAATACCTTATACAGTCATGTGTCACCTAAGGACCGGGGATATATTCTGAGAAATGCGTCGTTCAATGATTTTGCTGTGCAAACGTCATAGAGTATACTGACACAAACCCTGATGACATAGCCTGGTACACACCTAGGCTACATGGTCCTAATCTTATGGGACCACCATCCTATATGTGGTCTGTCTTTGACTGAAACATCATTATGTGGTGTATAACTGTAATAGAAAATCTGTCAACATTTAACAATTTTAGGGAGGATTTTAAAAATTCTGTGTGAATTTTTGTTAGAATGGATAAATTGTGTTAACATTTAAAGCTAATATTTTTTACTAGTACCTATGAGATTTTTTCCAAGAATTTATTCATAATCAAAATATTTATTAGTGCTATTATATAATAGATTCTTTAGTAGGTATTAATTTGTGGTATATGTGCAATTGATCTCACTTATTCTTATGAAATTTCTTTTGTATAGTAGTTTATACACTTCTCATCTATTATTCTAACAGACAGATTTGAATAAGGCTGGGTCATGATGTCTTAACCTTTTATAATTATTCCATCTTTTCAGAAACATAAACAGTTTATGCCATTTCAGTAATTTGTATTAAAAACAACTTTTCTTACTCATAAAGAAATTATAATATTTAGTATGTTTTTTGAAGCAACTCGTTCATCTCCACCTTTTGTGCCATTCACATGTGAGTGGATTTGCAGTCACAGTTGAATATGTACATAATTGAAACATATATTAGCTTGTTAAAGGTACATTTTAAGTTTATGAGAAACAAACATAGCTCCTCCATATAACTAATTTCTTTTCCTATTACTGATAGCCAGTGTTTTAAGTTTGGTAGACTAATTATGATACTTTCTTATATTCCTAGTGTGATAGATTTCTGGAATTGCCAGATTTAACATTTGTCCTTCCTGTACTTCTCAAAGAACCTTGGAGTTCCATCCACTAATAATGTACAGTTTTGCTGAGACATGAAATGCAGCAATTGGATTGAGATTTCTGTTTCTGGAAGCACGTGGAACCTGGTCACTTAGCTTAGCAGCCCCATCTCAGTGTGGCTTTGCTTTTGCTGCTTGACTTTGTGTGTGTGATAACTCTCATGGTGTTAAATATTACTTCACTTTCTGAGCAACAGTATGTATTACAGCTGAGCTGTGAATTTTAGGATTTTCAGGGACATGGGATGTTTCCACCATTTAATGTCAAACATCTATCTTATTACACACGTTAGTTAAATACTCTATTCCATTTAAAAATGCTTCCTAAAAAATGATATTATCTGACTGTCCTGGTATTATTTTATATTAAATGTTAGTATTTTGAACTTTTTGCTGATGTCCAATCAGTAAAATTAATTACTTCTAATAGGAATTGTGATATTTATACATTAAATTTGATATGTTGGGAGTTAATGTTTTTATCTAAACCTAAATTTTGAAAAAATGAAAAAAAAAGTTTTCACTAGTAAATGAGTGGCCTTTGAGGCCTGTGTGAAGAGAATAGGCAGTGTAGTTTGGTGGAAAGAGCAAAGAGTGAAGTTGTTGGGTTCTGTGTCTATTCTGCCACCAGTGGAGGGACTTCTGGCACATGATTTAGCCTATCTAGGCATCCATTGCTTTACATGGAAAACGGATTACAGCAGTTACTTTTTGAGGCTATGAGATTAAATAAGATGGTGTTTTTTAAAGCCTCTAATACAAGCCCTCAATAAGTGGTAGTAACTATTATGTTGGGGGTGATGAAAGAAGAGAATTACCTTATGGTAGTTGTTTTTCAAACTTCTCAACTTTAATTTTTGGGAAGTATTATATTTCAGAAGAAACCAAATGTAAATATATGTTTTTTAAACTTCAGTAATAGGATAGTTATTCCAGCAACATGTTAGTTGATCTTAAGATATCAAGATAAAAGAATAAATTGCAAATATAATAATATAAACAAATGTAAGTTTTGAAGTTGACTATATACACACCAAATTGTTAGATCTAAGATTTAGTCCTCATTTTACTTAGCTTATGTTTCTTATATACTTTTAGATCTTATAGATTTATAATATGGTAAAATGTAGAATATATGCCATGAAATTAACCTGAACTAGACTATTTTTCCATCCATAAGGGAGTCTGCAAAGGGCATATTAACTTTACATTACTAATCTTTAAAGTAGACATAGTCTTTGAATTCTGGCTATCCAGATGAAAGAACTTCAATGACAGTAAAAAATAAAAGAAGAATTCCAGTCATTCCTTTTACTTATCGTAGTCTTCTTCTTTTCTGATTCCCCATAAGAAGAAGACCTTCACTATTCTGTATCAGTCTACTTTCAATCCTGCCCGACTTACTCTTAGTAGATCACCTACTTATTGTGAGAATTGAGGTCATCAGTTGTGAAGCCTCTTACCGTCTTCCATCCCTACATCCACATCCATCCATTGCCACTTGGCCTCTCAGAACACGTGTAATCCTCTTTGCCTGTGGTCATGGTTCACTCTCCGGATGCCACTTCTCATCCCTTCATGCAAATGTCTGCTTATCCCTTAAGAGTAAACTCAAACATCACCTAATCTATAAAATTGTCTGTAATACTCTGGTGTGAGTTGAGATTCCACTCATAACCAGCAGAAACCCAATTCTTATTATATTGGCTTAAATTTAAATTTTTTTCTCTGTTTTGAGCTTATTCAAATAATGTTGCAGCAGATACTCTGCTGTGGGAATATTCCTAAAGGATTCTTTTTTAAAGTACTTTTTGAGATGCGGTTTTTTAAAAATGATGCCTCTTCCCATTTTTAACCTCAGACCAACTAGAAAGCTTGGTCTTATTTAGATTCTAAATGGCTAGTTTAACTTTGTAATTTTAAAATTACGATACTTTTTATTTTTGCTGAGTAATTTAAATTCATTGCAACCAATTCTTTAACATTGGATTTTATAGCAAGCATATTTTGTCTCTTTTCTAGGCAAACCTAGGATTAATACGGTTTGAAGTGGTTTAAAATTTTACATGCCAGTTACACATACACATAGCCATCTTTGAAAGTTTTGAACTTAATCTGTTCCAGGAAACTGTAGCCCAAAATAAAATAATATATTCCTAATTTCAATTTGTAGACAGTTGATGTGCTACAGAACAAATTGCAGTAATATAATTTTACAGCTAGGAGGCAGTCTGGTCAAAGAGTAAAATTATTCTCACAGTTCTCATATGAAAACAAGATAATATGCAGAATCTGGCAGGAACATGTAATTTAAGTTGTGTAATTTAAGTCCCGTGACACCTAAGGCATTCTTCATCATCTTCTGTTCATACTTATTTAAAGCTACTATTAGTTTCTTGACGAGGAAATGTAGGTTATTACTAAAATGAGCCCTAGTTTTCTACTTGATCCATATATTGGTACCTTTTAAAATCATATCCATTGCTGAAAGAGGTCATTCTTTAGACAAAATCTCTGTCGCTGTTGACAGATCATTAGAATAATGGTGTTGAACCAAACAATAATTATATGTTTATGTGGACCAGTGACTGTTAGAAATTGAGGAAAATATTATATTTTACTTTATCAGTATTCAAAGAAGAGTGAAACATAGTTATTCATTATTTATTTGGATCCAGGTTATTTTTTCTAAAAATGATTTAAGTATTTACAAAAGGCATTACAAGTTAACAGGATAAAACAAATCTTGGTAGTAAGAACAAGGCAAAGGGAAAATGAAAAAGAAACCAAGATGGAGTTAGAGGAGAGATTAATACACAAAACGTACATCTTGATGTCCTGTATGTGCTCATATAGGGGCGACATCTAGTAAGATGAAGTCAGTGGTGAGATTAGTACAGATATGTGTGCTATCATGTCCTTTACACTTCACGTAGGTTGGCCACTAATTTGGCTCCAAACTTGCATGGAGAAGGGAAAAATTGTTTATAAAATTCCATACTTGTAAAGTCAAAACAAACAAGAAAAACAACAATTTCTGAGACCAGGGACAAAATTCTCTCCTGAGTATTCCTTCATAGGACAGTGGATAATGCAGGAATGTGTAATCAACAACATCCTCACACTGAAGGCGCTGGTAAGTTTCTGTTCGTAGGAGTAGCATTTAGGTCCCTTGCAGAGGCCAGGGGTACAATTTTGTGCAGGTCAATTAGAAAATGAAAAGACCTAGGTTTTATTTCTATTAGTATATGCTTTCCTAGACTTATAGACTGTATATCACTGATACCAGTGACAGACCTATCTAACTATTGATAATGTTCCTTCTCCTTTTAGATTCTGAAAAAGAGTTCCACATCCTCCCTCACCGAGTTTTTGTCCCCGTTCCGGGATCCACTGTAATGTTATGTGATTATAAATTTGGCGATGAATCAGCTGAAGAAATCAGAGCCCATTTTATAGAAATGTTAGATCATATGATTCAAATAGAAGATTTGGAAATTGCAGAGGAAATAAACACAGGTAATTATATGATGTTATTTAAGAACCTGATTAGACTACTGCTAAGATTACCTATGAGACATCTAGTTTAAATATCATGTCTTTAGATTTCCTTAAAGCTGGTTCTGTTCAACACTTCGAGGCATTTAAAATTGTGTCTTTTTGATTTCTAAATATATAAATATGTGGTCAGTGTTTTCCTGGAAAACTGTACCAAAATTTAAGATACTTTAGGATTTTCCAAGCCTCACAAGTAGATCTTCTTAAAACAAATTCAGCCTTAAATAGGTGAAAATATATAGCTTTAAGGGATTTCTTTTTATTACAAGAAAAGTTTTCTTAAAATACATTATCTTAATTATTTGGTTAAGCATCATGTCACAAAGTCTTTTAAACACTATCAAACGCCTTCTCCATTCTATTTCCCTTTATTTTCCTCTCCCCATCGTATTATTGGGATATTAAACTAAAATGGGCTGTTCCAAAAATTAGATGAAGATTATTTTTCTAGAGCATCAATTTGCCATACTATCTAATTGTGTAACACATTTTTTCCCCTAGCCATCACTTTCACAGTTGACCTTACATTTTGGAAGGCTGGTTTTTTTGTTTTGTTTTGTTTTGTTTTGCTTTGGTTTGTTTTTGTTTTTATTTCTATTAAGAGCAGGATATGCAAACATGTAGGTGTATGATGGTCTTCCTGAAATATTTAAAAATATGTGATAGAACTAATTATTTGCAAGTATCAGTAAATACTGAGTACAAAGCAATTTATTACTCTTGAAATTTCTGGTGTCATAGTAGAAAGTCTTTAGATTACTTTTGAATATGGATGTTTGTGAAATGGGTATAGCAATTTTTAAGTCCTTTTTCTAATTCTAATTTCCTAGTTATCCCTCTGTTGCTTAACTAATTCCTACCCCCCCACAAGAGTAGAGTGTTTGATTTAGAGTGCTCTTGTTACCATGATGAGTCAAAGAAGTATTTGGTTGGTGAATTTCAAATCTGTCAGTGAAGCCTTACATCAGTTGGAGACCACCAGGAGTGTTTTTATCAATAGCTCCAAGTTAGTATTAATCATGGTGTGGAACAGGAAGTTTGTTTCAAAGGGCAATAAGCCACTCTGAATTGCTCAGTATCTGATGTTAAAGCAACGGCTGTGTTTCAGTCTCGTGAAAGCTAGCATTTTAAAAGGTAAAGCTATAGCATATTCCCTATCTGATAGAGATTTTGAAAGTAGACTGATAAAAATGTTTGCTACTTTCTGAAATATGTTTTCCTGGATTACTAACTACACTATCTTTGCCAACCAAACTTAGACTCCGAGGGCAGGAAGTTTTGTTTGTTTTGTTCACTTCTGTCACTAGTGTCTAACGATAGTTGTTGACCCATCTATTGTTGATAACCTGGGTGAATTTTTTGTGGGCTCATTAGAGTTGACCTAGTTCATCCTCTTTCTTAGAATACTGAAATCTGTATCTCTAGCAGATTGGTACTTAGACTCTGTTCTTCCTTTACTCTGGCTACCCGTCTGCCTTCCTGTAACTTATACTTTGTTCAGTAATCTGGAGCACGTGAATTCTTTATTGAGGCCATGTTTTATATTTGAGGTCAACTGTCATGTTCTAAAGATTTCAGAGCCGAGTATTCCCACATACCTTTAACTGTTCTCTTTATTATAGTTTCCAGACCTCATTTTTTCTTACCACTTTGTTTGCCTTCCTTTAGATTAAGAATTTTTAACCTGTGGTGTCCAGAACCCTTGGGGTCGTAGCTGACTTTCGGGAGATCCAAAAACCACTTGAATGTAATTGTGTAATTTTTTTCTGAGGAAAAGGTGTAAGCTTTCAAAGCATTGGTGAACTAAGAAAGATTAAAAACTTCTTTAAATATATTCTGATTTGCCTTTCTTGAAATATGTTATCCTGAATTGAACCAATTACTCTAATAATAATATTAGCTCTTATTTATATAGAACCTAATACATGCTGGGCACTGTTTTAAGAGCCTTCCAAATACTAAATCATTTAATCCTTATAACAACACTATGATATAGGTACTATGATTAGCCCCATTTTCCAAATGAGAGAACTGAGGCTCAGAAGGGTCTAGTAACTTTCCTAGGGTTATGTAGCTAGTAAATGATGGAGCTGGAATTTGAACAAGGCAGTTTGGTTCTAGAGTCTGTGCTTTTTTCCTAACAATTTTGTTTTACTGCCTTTCCATGGGACCTAACCAATACAGACTATAGGACTATTACTTTCCTTAATCTAGATACTTATTTTAGCCTGGCTCTCTTCATTCTATTATTTAAAATTTTTTTTTTTTTTTTAATGAAAGAATTTCTGTCCTTTTTTTTTTTAAAGATTTTATTTTTTTTCCTTTTTCTCCCCAAAGCCCCCGGTACATAGTTGTATATTCTTCGTTGTGGGTTCTTCTAGTTGTGGTATGTGGGACGCTGCCTCAGCGTGGTTTGATGAGCAGTGCCATGTCCGCGCCCAGGATTCGAACCAACGAAACACTGGGCCGCCTGCAGCCGAGCGCGCGAACTTAACCACTCGGCCACGGAGCCAGCCCCAATTTAAAAAATTTTTAAACTTAAATGAATGACGTTACATTATCCTTGTTTAATTTCATCTTATGTCAGTATAATTTCTCATTTGTTGGCTAGAATTTTGTATCTGTTATCATGTATGGCTTTCATATTCTTTTGAATTATTTGTCATACTCTTAGTACATATCACTTTGCTGAATTAAGAATGACTAATGGTAGCACTGTATGCAAAATTTGCCCCCATTCACAACTTACTTTAAAAATCAGATATAAAAGAGTAGGAAGAGAGATATTTCATTTAGATTTCTTTAAGACTACTGTCATCTTAAGAAATGATTTTCTTTTATCTAATTCCATGTTGTATTTTAAACATGAGTTTGTACACTAGTTTTTATTTTATTCAATACGTAGTTATACTTTAAAAATCAGTTAATTATAGTTATTAACCTCAGGTAATAACAGAGGTTAATAGCCATTTTTTATACCTGTAAGGCAGGTTAAAAAAAATCCACGGGGGCCGGCCTGGTGGCTGAGTGGTTAAGGTTCCATGTGCTCCACTTCAGTTGCCTGGAGTTCCCTGGTTCGGATCCTGGATGTGGACCTGCCTCGCTTGTCAGCTATGCTGTGGAGGCCTCCCACGTGCAGGATGGAGGGAGGATTGGCACAGATGTGAGCTCAGGGCTAGTCTTAAGCAACAAGAGAGGAGGATTGGCAACAGATGCTGGCTCAGGGTGAATCTTCCTCATACGCGCGCACAAATCCAAGTAGCTTCCATCACTGTAGTGTACTCTTAAAGAGGCAGCTATGGCAGCCTTGCATGACAACCTCCCCAAAATGAAACTAAAACCCAATAAATGTGAACTCTTCTTAAACCATTATATGTGCATGTTAGCGTACATTTCTTGATTTTTCTATAAGATTCACAAGGAAAAGGATTTGCCTTTCTTGCTCTCTGCTGCATTTCCAGAACTTTCCAACACATTATAGGTACTCAGTAAATGTTCGTTGGCTGAACAAATTACTGATTTTGTCATTCCTAGCGCTTGGAGTCCAAAGATCAATAAGATACTGATCCTGTCTCAGAGTGCTAAATAGAATTTTTTTCACCTGTGTAGATACTAACTTTTATGTACTCAGACTGGGTGAATGCTTCCATTATATTTAATCATAGTTTTGTGCTACTCTTTTACATTACTTTGCATGCTTGTAATTATTTAACTCATCATATTTAATGTTAATTTAATGTTGTATATTTAATGTTAATCGTCCACATTAGACTGTAAGATTTTTGAGAGTAAGTACCGAGAATGCTTACTTCTGTATCTGAGCTCCATGCCTAAAACATGGTAGGTATTCATAAATATTTGTTACTAACTGACTGACATATACTGAATAGGTCATTTTTAGGAAACTATATCTTCTTTTATACTTATTTCATGCTTGAAAAATTATAAGCTTATGCCTAGCCAGAGGTAAGGTTTTTAAAGTTTGTGTAGTGCACTACACTGAACATGACGAAGGATATAATAGTTGGAGCTCTATGAGTCAATAGTGGAGAACATTTTAAGGGGTAGAGAACGTTTAGAACATAGGACAATATGTAGCAGTAATTGTTGCCCCAGAAATATTAATTCTAGTTTTCAGCATTTAGTGTGTCTATTAGATATTTATTAAACATGTGCTTTGTTTAAGGCAGTGTGATAAAAACAAATCAAGGACCAGATTCCTTTCCTCAAAAAGCCTATAATGTGATTTGAAAGATAGAATGTGTAGGCATTATTATGTAGAGCATGTAGTAAGATCCTAAGAGTGAGAACTTAAGATTAATGATCAGAATTTTAGGTTCTCCAGTATTTGGTTAATAATTCAACTAGAAAAAGATTTTTTGACTGTAGGTTAGCAATAACTTATAATCTATAATTACAAAGGTTTGGCATTAGTATTTTCAAATTTTAGTAAATTCTAAATTCAGTTTTTTATTCTTTATTATTACTACTTTTATATTTCTCTTTAAACTGAAAACACACACTTATGCAAGTTGATGCTCTATAATATACAGTAGATAATCCCAAATATATTAAAAGCCCCATAGTTTTGAATGATTCTTTGAAATATTTTTGCAAGTAATTAAAAAATTTATTTTTAGCCTCAAGATAATATACTTCTTAACTATTATTATCAGATTTAAACGCTGTTCCGTAATGAGTGGTTTTATCATTTGTATCTATACTAAACATATTTTAATTCTGTTTTTCAGCTTTCCTTCAGTAAGCTCTATCATTAGCATTGTTTGTACTCTGTTAAATATTAGAATGAACTAGTAGCTATGAAGTACTTTAAAATAATTTTTTAATCTTAGATATATAAATATTAATCCATTTGCTTTTTGTTTCGATTTTCATAAGCTTTTAATATTGATACCTAGTTGTATGTTTCACACTGTATTTTAAAGTTATTTCTTATCTATATTTCTTTTTTTATGCTGACAGTCTAGTATAGAGATGGATTAACTGAGTAGAAAGAGTATAATATTACGAGAACAAAGGAAACAAAGCAGCAGTTTGGAAAGTTTAGGTGTGTATACTTATATGTACGCTGTGTCAAACTCGTGGTTTCTGGTATTATGTATTTTTCTAATATTACGTAATGTACTGAAGATAGTACTTCAGTATGGTCGATATGATTCTTTTAAGACTCTGCCCTGGTTTTGAAACTTACGTAAATCTCAACTGAATGATTGATTACTGTATGTTGATTGCCTATTATGTATTAGGCATTAGGGTTCTAGAGATCAAGTATATAGTCCTGACTCTCGAGAAGCTCACAGTATGATGGGCAATACAGAGAAATGAACTTTTCCAAAATAAGGTGATTAGTTCTATAATAGAGGAATGAACAGAGAATTATCAGAACATTTAGCACAGGCACTATCCCTGTCAGGGATTCAGAGGAAGCTCAGAGCAGGTGACATTTGAGTTCATTTTGAAAGATGAATACAGTAGAGGTAACTCTAGGCTTTTTACGAATTGAATGCTGGTGTCAGATGCATTGTGAACAAGAATCTGACTTTGTCTGGAATTATATTAGTTTTGCTTCATCAAGTATTTGTTGAATTAGAAGGAATGATTTAGTAATTAGTGTATTTTTAATTGTGAAATAACACGTACCCAAATTATGGGATAGAGTAAAAACAAACATTTTAGTAGAAAAATTAAGTGCTTTTACATAAACATCCTAGTGGTTGAGAATTATATTCACTTATTCACTCATTTACTCATTCATTCATTTATTAATTTACTCAAAAATATTAGATGCATAATTTTACCAACATAGTACTTTAGCTGAGTCCAGGTGACAGCTATGTAACCTTAAACAGATCCACTCTGAACCCCAGATTTTTTTGGGATTGATATGAGAATTTAGTAAAAATGTTAGGGAAAATACTCTAAACAGTAAGAGTTACATAAATGTAGGGTGATAATTAGCATTATTACAAGACTTTTACATAATGAATCTTCTGAATTATAATGAAAAACGTTAATATTAAAGTATGGAAATTAATGTTTTATAGTTTGCATAGATTTTCTTAAATATTTGATGTTAAAGCTTCCATATAAAATAAACCATAAAAAATAGAGTTCAAATGTTCAAATTCGAAAATTGAAATCAGTTACTATACATTTAGGAATGTTAAACTTATTCTGAGTATCTGGCTTTATTTTCTAAGTATTCATTATTTGCTTGATTATTATTAATTATTTCTGTTCTATAATATAGTTGCCAAGTAGTTGCTAGGTTTAAAATATATATTTTGCCAAGTGTCTTAAAGTAACATACTTTTAAATGACGTAAAGGATGAAGAACAATTTGTTTGTCAATATGACTCACTTAAGGAGAGGGATAACTATGGCTTTAGAATTTCTTAGATGCTTTAGTCATCTCCTAGTAGATGTTAGTTTAATAATTCAGATGTGCTTTAGCCAAAAAGTATCAGCTAAAAATTTGGAGACGCACCTTTAAAATCTGGTGAAGTTACTCTTTGCCGATTCTGTCTTGATATCAGAGTGGAAATTAATTTTTCTTGTTTGGTTAAACAATGATAATTAGAAAAGAAGTAATACTAAAGATGTACTTTTATGGCTAAATCACTAACTGTAGTGAAACCTCCTTAATTTCGGATTCAGGAATGGGGAAGAAGAGAAGGAAGGAGTTCAAGTCCTGACGTTTCATTTCAAGTTTCTTAATAGTCCTGCCTACCTGTCTGCAGCTTAGAATGAAATCTGAACACATCTACCACTTAGCATGCATTTATCATGGCTCTTGCTTTCTCTTTTGTTGACAGTTGCTCAAGAAGATTGCTTTCCTATGTGATTAACTTGGGATTTGTCTAAAGTTAAAATTACCTAGTTTTAAGGAATGGTTAAGATCTAATTTCCTATTGAATCACATGTTATTTGCATTTAAATTTCAGACAACATGTTAAAGTATTGGTGAAATGGCATAGTGTCTAAGATTTGAATCAAAATCCTACAAATGGGGCCAGCCCGGTGGCATAGCAGTTAAGTTCATGTGCTCCACTTCAGTAGCCTGGGGTTCTCCGGTTCAGATCCCAGGCACAGACCTACAGACTGCTCATTAAGCCATGCTGTGGCGATGTCACACATACAAAACAGAAGAAGATTCGCACAGATGTTAGCTCAGGGCCAGTCTTCCTCACCAAAAAAAAATTAATTAATTAAAAAATATATAAAAAAACAAAGTCCTACAAGCTTCCACCAAAGCAAACACAAATAAATTATGACAAGGCCTTATTCATCCTTGAAAAGTGCTCTGCTTCAGTAAAATTACCTCAAATTTATATCAAATCAACATAATTTTGTATGACAGATTTAAAAATGGAAGTAGAGCAATGAAATGACTTTTTTTATGGAAGTAAATTATTTGTCCAGAGGACCAACTAGAGCCTGATCTTCACATATAACAATTCAATATTAAATGTGTAAGTAGTATATCAGGACAAATAAAACCATTTTTATGCTCTTTAAATACTCAAGTAAAAAAAATTCCTGTAGCAAATAATTGTAATTCATGCTTCATCCATTATTTTTATTTGTTATGTAAGGATTTTAATGGCCCAAATGAAAAGCTTTTTAGCAGTAATAGTTGCTAATAGAAAAGCCAAAGTTTGTGTGTGTGTGTTTTAACATGAATAAAATTGTGCTCTATTCAACGTTTAGACCTATAGATGAAGTTAGGGGAAATTTGAAGCTGGTGGGCTAAGGTAGTCTAGAAATAAAGTGTTATTTTTTGGTCTTTGTGACTTATTTGATATGGGAGTAGAAAAAAAGAGAAGAATGTTGTTTGGTTTTAAAGTACTTTAGTCATGTGCTCGAAGAGGCAAAAAAAAGACTGATGGTACCTTTCATTCTAATGAGGTTATTACTAAGGATTATTTCTGAAAACGACAGTAAACTTTTTTTCATGGGAAACTGAGAAGGAGGCGAGTTTTTTCTTTTCCTTTCATTCATTTTGGTTTGACAGATATGTATTTCATAAGTGGATGTGTCATCCTTGTGAGTCTGCTAATATATTGGGATACAAAGATGTATTTAAGGACGTTTTAAATCTAAGCAATAGGTTATTTTACTTTGAATTTAAACAATAGTATTTATTGTCTCTCACTCTGTGGCTCTCTTCTCTTCCTTGTAAATAAAGGGATCAACATGAAGTAGTTGCTTTCAAACGTCGTTCCCCAGAGTTCTGTAGAACAGTACTCCACTACCACGTCTGAGGGGAAGCAGGGCGTTTGGCTCCAGGAGCCCTCCATCCTTGCTTCAACCAGAGTTAATGCTGCTTTCATCTGTTTTACATACTAGGATTTTCTGTCAGATTCTTTAGCACTAGGTAAAAAAATGAAAACCACTGATGTGTGTGATCTCTAAAGATATTTTCAGTGCAAATACTTTGAATCAGTGTTGTATAAATTCAGCTAGGCTAACCTACATAAATTCTAGTCAGCATAATGAAGTAGAAAAAGAACTTGTATTTGAATTCTCAGTTCTGCTGCCCATGACCCTCAAATATCCACTTAATTTCTCAGATCTTATTTTTCATTTGTGCAATGAGATAATGTACTTGCCTTGCTTAACGCTGAGTTGTTTTAAGGTCAAATTTCTGGTTTTATTTTGCTTGTGTATTTCAAATTTCAGGTTAGATCAAGAGTCAGCAACCTTTTTCTGTATAGGGCTAAATAGTAAATATTCTAGGCTTTGTGGGGCACATAAGGTCTGGCCCATGGGCTGCAGTTTGCTGATCTCTGCTTTTATTATTAATATCTAATTATTTGAAATTATTCATCTCTAAAACCACCAATAAGAATGATATAAAATTAATCCAAATTAAGAGTGAAGGTTATTCTGTTACTCTCTGGTTTGATATTTGGTATCAATTTATCTCTACTACCATATAGTAAACACATTAGAATTTGTGGGAAAGATTCAGAACTGGCTGTGTGGATCTCTGGTTTCGGTCAGTTATAAAACTACATAAAGTATTTTTAAAATTATGTCATTTTGACATATTCCATGAAATTTAATTCACCTACATTTGATGATAATCATGTTATAAAAAAATCAAGTTGAAGGAAACTGGAGCTCATTGTATATATTTTTTATAATGTTCTTATTTAAAACTCATTTTAAAATGGTAATTATTCTCATTTTGTTTAGCATTTATTATTATTATCCTCTTGCAGCTTGTTTGAGTTCCTCTGTGAATACTGAAGCTTCACTGGACGGCACAGATGATGAACAACCAAAACAACCAATTAAAACTACAATATTAGTGAAAATTCAGCACAACATAGGTATCCTATTTTTTTTATAACATTGAAAAGATGGTATTTTAGATTTGAGTTTTCTTATTACTTTAAAATTATTGTGTTTTCATTTTGCTCCCTTAAAAGTGCTAGATTAAGCCAGTATTTATGGAATATTATGGAAAGTGCTAGGTCCTGGAGATACAAAGATTTATAAATAATTTTCCCGAGTGCCCTCAAAGATGACACTTCCTGTTAAGTTTTTGCGTGCTTTGCGAAGGAAAACATGTTGAGTTTCGGGAATCAATTAGTATAGTAGGACCAATGTTTTCCAAATTGGTATTCCCAGGGTTGATATTGTGGAAGATTTTGATATGTGTTGTATGAAAAAAGTCCAATTCAAATCTGGAAATTTATATTGCTTTAGTATTTTAAAAGCTCCAAGAACTGTGGCAGTTACTTTAACATTTTTCAGATTTATTGATCAAAGAACATGTAGACTTGTTGTTTAGTGGAATGCCAATTTTAGAAATGAGCATGAAGACTTTTGACTGAGAGTTAGTAGCCTGAAGCGTTAGTTGTTTTTCTTGTCACTTACTCATTAGATAAACTTAAGTTAATTGCCTAAATTCTTTTACCTAAGTGAATGTGTGTGTGGGGGGGGGGGGGGGGGGACTACTCTGGTCAGTTTTGTTTTAATTTACAATAATCAGGAAAAAATAAATAAAAAGTTACCAACCCAGACTTACTAATTCTTAGATTTTATAATGATGGAATCTGAGTTTCCGTAGTTTTCAATAGCTATACAAGTGACTTCGCATTGTAATTGATTGAGAACCACTGCCCATTGGAGCTGTCTTTTTGGTTTAAACTAAATAGCATGAGACAGCTGGAATGTCACTATGAATATTTAGAAAAGCCTTTTAAAGTATGTGTTAGTTTTTCTCTTAGAGGTGTGTGAGTGCACACACGTGTTTAAGAGAGACAGTCTTTTTTCTTTTTAAGGTTTTGCTAAGGTGATGAAGTACATGATTATCAGTCCAGCCTTTGCAGTCTACTCTTTCAACTTATTGCTCCATTTTCCTCTAAGACTTTGCTGGCTTCTAGTACATACATATGTGTGTATAGGTATATGTGTTTGTGTGTGTGTGTGTGGTTGTTTAGGTCCATCAGTTACCTACATTTCACAGCCTAGGATCAGTTAAACCTTTCTTGTGCTCATTCCATTTCCATTTGTTTTGTGTTTGTTTCGCTTGTAGGTGTGGTTGCAGCATTTGCAGTGGCAGTCCTTGCTGCGGGTATCTCCTTTCATTACTTCAGTGATTAGGGTGAGACACAGAGAGCGTCCTGATCGTCCAGAGAACCCTGACCAACAATTACGAATAATAAAGATGCAAACAATCCATCTGCATTTAAGACAACAGCAGCCAGATCTGCTGCCATAATGCCTGTTAGGTGTGTTTCTGACTAAAGTGAAATCACCAGCTGCCTTGTGTTTATATCATAGATGGCTCAGGCTTCCAAAAATAAAGTTATGCGTCTAGATGGAAGTTGCATGTAACAAATCATTATTATCTATTTTTTAAAATGTTCAAAATGGTGGTTTATTTTCACAGATTTTAGTTCTATTGATCTGGATCACATATTGATCAGGACATTGAAAAGTTGAATAGTCAGGTTGACTGAATGTCTTAGTAATAGAACAACAGGAGAAATTTCTATGAAGTGGGACGACAACCTGTTGGGTAAGTTCATGCTCTAGGACCTTTATAATGTAGACTCAGTTCCAAAATACTGATTGAGTTCTGTTTGAGGGGTAGCAAATCCTTCCAGAGAGGTTTGAATCTGTAAGGATTGCCATAAACCATGTGCTTTCCTCAGGTTAGTATATTATAACTGTTTTAATATATTAAATAAGACTTTTGCTTGCAGCCGTACTTTAGACTAGGTACTATAAAACAACTAGATCCTGAAAAAAATATATTTTTGAATGTACTAATAGGCTCAAATAAAGCAGAGGAAATCTCCAGGAGCTTCCTATTTTTCCTCCCCCATAAAAAGGAACACATTTGGAGTTGGGAATTGTAAATAATATATTAAGCTTATAGGTGAACAGTGGTTTTCTGGATGGCAGTTACTCTTGTAGCACTGTTGAATGCAGTTTGTCATGGATCAAAAATGAGATAAATCTGAATCTGAGATGCCACCCCAGCCAGGACAGTTCAGGTGGCCCCCAGTTTTGGTACCCTGTAGCTCCTGACAGATGCAAGACATAGGCCCAAGATTCCTGTAGATTAAGATAAAGCACTATTGGGGGGCTGGCCCAGTGGCGCAGCAGTTAAGTTCGCACGTTCTGTTTCTCAGCAGCCCGGGGTTTGCTGGTTTGGATCCCGGGTGTGGACATGGCACCGCTTGGCACGCCATGCTGTGGTAGGGGTCCCACATATAAAGTAGAGGAAGATGGGCATGGATGTTAGCTCAGGGCCAGGCTTCCTCAGCAAAAAAGAGGAGGACTGGCAGTAGTTAGCTCAGGGCTAATCTTCCTCAAAAAAAAAAGATAATAATAGTTAATAAAAGATAATAACAATATAATTTCATGAATAGAGATCACCAAGAGCAAGTTGAAACTAGCTAGCATGAAAAGGAATCTAGAAATACAGACTTTGTGTTCAGTTCTCTAAGGTCTCATCACCAACATACGTGAAGGATGGAACCACAGGCAGATCTGAAAAAGAAATAAACGAAACTGGTAGAAATGGGAAATATGTTATTTGAAATGAAAAAAACCACCTCAGACATGAATAACATATTAGACTCAGCTGAAGAGATGATAAATAAACTGGAAGCTGGATCTAAAGAAATTACCCAGTGTGCAGCAAGGAGAAACAAGGAATTAGAAAATAGAAATATTAAAGAGAAGTTAAGAGATATGGAGGGAAGAATTGTAAAGCCTAGAAGTACTACAAGAAGAGAATAGAGAGGATGGAGGAGTGGCAATATTTGAAGAGGTAACAGAATTTCCACATTTGTTGGGAAAACATGAATTCAGAAAGTGCAATATGTCCCAGGCATATACAGATAAAATCCATACCTAAACGCAATGTAGTGTAACTGCAAGATACCAAACACAAGATTTTAAAAGCAATCAAAGGGAGAAAAAGATCATCAATGAAGACAAGGCAGTCAAATACTTAGTAGGCTTTTCAACAGTAACAACATACCCAAAAGATGGTAGAATAATGCCTTCAAAATTCCGAGAACTAATTATCAACTTAGAATTTGTACTAAGAAAAACTGAAATAAAGACATGTTCACATGAAAAACAGATTTTACTATCAGCAGATCTTCATTAAAGAAATTGCAAAAAGGTGATCTTCAAGAAGGAAAATAATTCCAAAAGGATGATCTGAAATTAAAGAACTAATGAGCAAATAAAATGATAAAATATGTAAAAATCAAAAGTGTTGTTTATATAAAAGTCATGATGATAGAAGTGTTTATAAGAAATAAAATTGTAAACAAATGTAAAACTAAATAAACACTTTATTCAACATTAGTGTGGACTTTTAAAATAAGATGTAATTGAAAAACTGGACAATAGCTTATAAGATGGGAGGAGGGTGATTAAAGTTTTGTGAAGTGCTTTTATTCAGAAAATGGATTAAAATATTGTTTAACTTTAAAATTATGTTAAATGTTATAGTAAAATTTCAAATATGACTGCAAAAATAATAGAGAATGAATCATTCCAAGGGAAAACTAAAATATGGAATAGAAAGACAATAACTCAGTACAGAAAAGGGGAGAGATTGTAGAGTGAGGGTAGAGGAGGAACAAAGTTAGTAAGATAATAGTAAGTCAAGTAATAATTAAAATAAATATGAGTAGACTAAACCCAGTTGAACAACAGATTAGATTTTTTTCAATCCAGTTATAGTCTGAATTTTTAAAAAGATGAAAGAAACACATTGTGCAAGCAGCAAAAGACAACTTATGTAGCTTTAGTGATATTAAATCAAAATTAGATTTTATGATAGTATTAGCAAAGATGTAGAAGGCCACTAAATAATGGTAAAAGGATCAATCCACTAGGAATATATGACAATTTTAAATTTGTATATATTTATAAAATGACTTCAGAATGTCTATAGGTCTAAACCAACAAATTGAACGACATGATGGAAGATGTCAGTAGCTCTCAACTTACTGATAGATCAAGCAGGCCAAAGAATGAGTGAAAGCACAGCTTTGAATAATGAAATTAACAGTATTGATTCAATGGACATCGTTAGAATAATCAACAGTTAGAAAATGTTCTTAATTAAGCATTGACCATACAACTCACAATAAATTTCAAAAGATTAGTATTAAATGGATAATCATAAATCAGTCAGTTATAAAGTTTAAAATTTTTTTAATCATTTACAAATTATGATTATGATTACAAATTTTTTAAAAACTTCATGGATGAAAGAAGAAAACATAAATACTTAGAATCTAATTGTAAGTACTACATTTGGAAAAATTGGGTGATGCAGCAGAAGCAGCACTTTGAGGGAAATGGCTTTAAATTCTTAAGGAAAAAGTCTCAGTGCATAACTTAGGAAAAGAATAACAGAATAAGCACAAAATAGAAGCAAGGAGATATAGGTAAGGGAAGAAATCAACGAATTAGAAAAAGACGTAGAATGGCAATGTCTTGTGAGTTGTTTTCATGACAAAACAATAAAATTGGCATAATTGAACAAGAAGAAAACAGCACAAGTAAACAACAAGGATTGAAAAGGGAGTCCTAACCCATAGATTCAGCAGAGATGAAAATGGTAAGAGCCTACCAGGAGCATCTTAATATATTTGAAAACTTAGACAAAATAGATCAGAGTCTAGAAAAATGCAATTTCCTTAAATTGGCTAAATAAGATACAAGCAAGCTAGATACACTTATTCAGTAGTATTGCAGAGTAAACTATGGTTTAAAATTCTTTGACAAAGAGAATATCTAGCCCATGTTTGTGATGTTTTATTTCTCTTTCAGGGACCATACTATCTCAACATTTTATACAAACTCTTCCAAAGAATAGACTCTTCAGCTCATTTTATGACGGCAGTATAACTTTTATTGATACTAGAATCAGACACATTCATTAGGAGAAAAGAAAATTACAGGCTAGCAGCATTTCTTAACAGATGTGAAAGTCAAAAGCACTATTAATAAACTGGACTCAACGTTATATCAGAAAGCGTAGTGCATCATGACTAAGTTGAATACATTAAAAATCAAGGACACAACAAGGATGCCTATTATCACCACTTCTGTTTATCATTTTCCTATAGAAAAGTGATCAAAAGACAGAGACCAGGTATTTTAAGAGGGGGTGACTAAACACATGAAAAGATGTTTAATCTCACAAACGATCGACTAAGATCACAATGAATACCATTTTACATCCAAAAGATTGAAAAGTTAAGAAATATAACAATACCAGTGAAGAAGATATGCATCAAGAAGACATCTACAGGTGGGGTTGTAAACTGATACTCTGTTTGGAAAGCGATTCGGCATTATCTTATAAGGTTAAGCATTCACATACTTTAATACCTTACCATTCTCTTTCTACATATGTACCTTAGAGAAATTCTTGCACATGTGAACAAGAGTCCACATGTGAGAATGTTCAGGGCAGCCCTGTTTGTAACTCCCAAATGCCCATTGACAAGAGAATAAAAAGTAAATTCTGGGTTTTGTAATTTTATTTGGCAGAGAGAATGTGATAACTAAATAAAGCAAATCTCAGAGGCCTACATGCAATATGATACAATTTTTGTAAAGCTTAAAAACAAGCAAATCTAAACTATATTATATAGGAATACATATGTTTGTATTAAAACTTTTTTTTTTTAATGTCAGGATTGTGGTTACCATTTCAGAGTGGGAATGATGGCAGGACAGGAAGACTAGAAGGAACAAATGAATAGATGAAACAATATTGATATATTACTTCTTGAGTTGAAATGGGTTTCTTGATATTCATTTTATTTACTTAATGGCATTAACATGTGAATTATTTTGGTTATCTGTTACTAACAAACTACCCCCAAACTTAATTGGCTTGAAACAACCATTTCATTTTCTTCACAGTTTTTGGTTGACAAAGATTAATTGGGTGGCTCTGTTCCACATGGTGTTGGTTAGAGCTACCATTTTCTAGGTGCTTGATTAGGCTTGAAACATCCAAGATAGCTCATTCACATGGTTGGTAGTTGATGCTGGCTGTCAGCTGGGAATTCAGCTATCACACCTCAGTTCTCTTCTATGTGGTTTGGAGTTCTTCCATCATAGTGGCTGGGCTTTTTCTTATCATGATGACTGGGATCCAAACAGTAGCATCCCAAGTGTGAGAATTCCAAGAAGAGAAAAGTAGAAGCTGTGACTCCTCTGGACGCCCTGGCTTGGAAGTCTCAGAACATCATTTCCACTATATTGTATTGGTCAAACTAATGTACAGGACCAGCCTAGATTAAAGGAGAAGAGAGAAAAGAACCTTTACCTTTCAGTGGGCGTGCATATACAAGAAGGAAAGGTCTTGATGGCAGACATCTTTGAAGATTAGTTACCGTAATGTATCCTCTGGCCATAGCAATTTATGTTCCTGGCGTGGAAAATGCATTCATCACCTCCAAAAGCACCTTACTGTTCTCATCTCACTATATCATCAGCTTCAGGCTCAAGGCCTATAATCTTGTCATTTAAATCAGTTTCAAGTATATATGAGCCACCTTTACTGCAGTTCCCCTCAATCTGAGGATGCATGAACTACACAAACAAGTTTTCTTCCCCATACTCATCCAACATACAGTGGCAAGACAGGCAATAGACACGCTTATTCAAAAAGAGGGAGAATGAGAGAGACAAAGCAATGAATGGTTCATAGCAAGTCTGAACTCCAGTTGGGCACATGTCTGTAATTCATCATGATTCTACAAGCAGAGAATGTATGTCAATTAGGGTCTAATTATTCTTCCTAAGAGTGGTTCTCAGCTCTTGATTCTTTCCTACGAGATTTTGACTTTACTCTGAGTCATCCTTTTCCATAAGAAATGGCCTATGTTTGAAGCTGAGTAGCTTTTTCAACCTGCTTCCTGATTTTTGAAGATTGAAAGCTCAGAAGGCTATTTATTTTGAACTGTCTTCCCTTTTAGACTAACTGA